TAAACTACTTTCTCGTTATTGATTTTTGATACTGATGAGAGAATTCGAAATGCGCGCATCTACCAGTGTTCGTCTTCTCACTGTGTTATTCAAACTATTGTAGGGAACTAACTGTTTTAAACTTCCTATAATTCCAAGCTTAATTGACAGCAGCCGCAGTGCCACTGTAGTAAAACCATCTGCTGCCACCTTTCTGCAACACACACTGGACGCCTATCGGTAACAGTCTTTTATAAGGCCACCCAGTCCCGTTTCACTTTCGGCGTTCAACGTTCGCACCCCAAGGTAAATAGGTCAAAAGGCTGCGCTCACACTCACATTAGACATACTGGGTATTGATGTGTGTTATGTGTCCGAAAATCGTATCAGTGACCCTTCCAAGGTTGTTGAATTAACTTCGCGCGGCTTGTCCTCCCGCTATTGGTTGTACACTTTCGGAGACTCTGATGCAGCACTCACAGGTCAAGAAGGCGGGCAGGTATGGTTCACACCTCCAAGGCTGAGTCATTGTTCATCGTCATCATTATACACGTCAGGTAGAGGTGGGAAACAACTCAGCTATTGTGCCGCATTGTTGGTTGATTGGATTCCGGTGAAAGGCCATTTGTGTACAGCCCGTTTGAGGACATCCACCCAGGTTGATCCATGAAGTCGTGCAAGACGCTGTTTGTTTGTGGTTTCCGCTTATGCTGCAACCGATTGCAGTTCTGATGGTGCCAAGATCCCACTCTATCAACGACAGAACACACTATTACGCTGTGCTGCCAGTTCAGATATCATACTACTTGCAGGACATATGAATGCGCAATTAGGGCGTCTAAGCTCTTTAAAAGCTCAGCTAGATGGTACTTTTGGCTAAAAGCCGAAAAGACTGACAACATCGAGTGTCTGCTGCAACCGTGTGCGAAGCACTAGTTGTTTCTGAGTAGTACTACTTTCAGGAAAAGTGGGTGTCGATGTGCCACTTGAGATCCTCCTGTAACCGGCCAGCGATGGACCCAAATAGATCACACTGCATAAGTTACAGGTGGCGTGGTTCCATCCTGAATTGCCGCTCGTACTGGAGTACTTGTGTCGACTCTGATGATGTCTTGATAGGCTGTGGCTTTTTCATTAACTTGACCGGGAGGTGCACTAAGCGTCTCCTAAGAATGGCAACCGAGAAGTTATCTCAGCGCCCAGTCAGGCAAGCCTACCAAGCTGCAATGCGTACCGAACTTTCGCTCCCATGTCCTAATGACACTGAGCTTTAGTGGAATAGGATCTCGGTCGCCATGCACAACGCAGTAGCATCTGTTTGTAGCACTACCAATCGTCATTGCACCAGTCACTGGACATCCGAGAGGTCGGTGAATCTGTCGGGATCCAGAAGTGAACTCTCGGGTGGCTCTGAGCACAAGGTAACCAGACAGACTATTAGCCGCGGACGAAAGTGGAGCCTGCGTGCTGACAGGGAAGCCTGGTGGACCGGTTGGGCACAAGAACTGGAGGAGGAGGAGGAGGAGGAGCGAGCAGTAGGGAGCTATTACAAATGCTTCCAGCTGTTCCGCACCACCAGTTTCAGGAAACCAAGCATCAGTAAAACAAGCAGAGACAGCATGGGTATTCTGATTCACAATAAAGAGCGCTATATAGGTCGTTGAGCGGAAAACTTTCAAGATAAGTTCAGTTGTTCTCTTGCTTCCGGACATCTTCCTACTCAAGCGATGCAGGATGAGCCATGGACGGTTAGTTTAGAGGCTCCATCGAAGGCTGAAATCCAAAACGCGACCACAGCTCTCAATCATTTTCGTGCCGCTGGCCCAGATTTTTTTCCCACCTGTACTGTTTAAGGCTAGAGATGAGGTCCTCCGCAAAACAATGACCTCATTCTTGGAAGATACTTGGAACCGATCGAGTAGTCATGAGTTCAGAGAGGTTTGGAAACAACCGATTGTTGCCAAACCTCTCTGAACACTGACCTCATTGTTCATATATGTATGGAAGGAGGAGACCATCCCGACAAACTGGAGTGAATCGAGTATAGCGCCAATATACAAGGGCAGTCGCACCAACTGTGCTAACCACAGGGGTATTAGTCTAACGCAAGTTGTAACAAAATAACTGGTCTCGATTATCGTTCATCGCCTCACTGTGGAACGGGAATCTCGGACTAGGGAAGAGCAGACAGGTTTCCACACTGGACGGAGCTGCATAGACCACATTTTCATTCCGCAGCAGATGCTACATCAGTGACACGCATACGGCAGACCGGCAACAGCTGCGTTCCTCGATTTCAACAGTGCGTTCGATTCAGTCGACCGATCCACTCTGTTAGAGATACTTGCGAGAAAATGTGTTCCCATGAAATGCGTGAACACTTTACGTGCTCTATACTCCAAAACAGCAGGCCGCGTCAGGGTCTACGGTGACCTGTCAGACAGCTTTCCGACCACAAGTGAAATTCGTCAGGGTTGTCCAATTTCCCCATTTTTATTCAACATCGTCGTAGACCCCATCATGGGGTGTTCTCTTGTGGAGCTTCACCATGAACGAGTTGAGATGCAGCGCAGTGAAAATCTAGTTGATCTGGACTATGCAGAGGATATTATCTTGTTGTTTTTCGGTGTTAAGTTAGCCCAATCTATCCTGCACAGCCTCTCTAGAGTGGTCACATCATTTGGCATGCGCTTCGCACCATCAAATTTTAATTGTTGCATGACCACCAGCCACTTGATGACCCTTTGAGTTTAGATAGCGAGGAACCCGAGCTGCTTGATCGATTCACTTACCTTGGCAACTGTATCAGCAACGATGGCGAATAAGCACTAAAGCCAGTTCACGTATTGCAAAAGGCAGAACTGTCTTTTTGAATCAGCGAGATCTGCGGCGAAAGAAGGGGGTTTCCTTCCATCAGAAAAGCCGTGTTTGCAAGACCGTCCTGCTCTATGGAGTGAGAGTTAATCCCTTCGGTCTGAATCTCTGAAGTGCCAACAAGTCTGATAATCGCTGTCTGCAGAGTACTGCTGGTGTCGGGTGGCACCAGCGTGTCAGAAACGATGATTTGCGTAGGCGAGTGTTAGGTAGTGATACTTAAGCTAGCTCCATAGGGCAACAAATAACACCGATTACCGAGAATGGCCTTGTTTTGTCTGTGAGGTATAGGGTGGCGCAAGGCTCAAGGTGGACAAAAGTTGACTTGGCGGGGTGAAATGAAGTCACTGACGACCAGACTAGGCGCCGTCGGTCCGTCTCGCCTTCGAGGCTGGAGTTCACGCGACCCGCCTTGTGCTTGGCTTGAGACTGTACAGGACATGGCTTGCAGTCGGCACCAGTGGCCTGTGTGCTGACGTCTCGTAGTCGGATTGCCTGTTTAACGTGGGTTTGGTGCTGTGTAATCTGTGGGGTAGTGGTTGATTATGACGTGGGACAGTGAAGACCGCAAGGAAGCTGTTTCGCTGATGACACGTTTTCATTGCACTATAGCAAGTTGGTTGTGATGGTCATTCATTCATTCATTATACACGTTAGCGAGAGGTGGGAAAACACCTCCGCTATTGTGGTTGACAAGGTGTGGGAGCCTTGATCCTGAATACTTGCTTAAGGCAATAAGGTTTTCCGGTGAGTCCCTCTTCTCTCCCCCTTAATATTCTTCGTTCCGTAGGTCGTTATGGTTGTATGGCAGCGAAGCATCAGTTCAAATGGCTGATGCATTGCTAATGATGACGATGATATTTGTTTACTTAGTGCAATGGTGTTCCTCTCATTTCTCCTGTAGTATTTATTTTTAGGCTATTATGGTTGCACGTTAGCAGTGCGTCAATTCAGATGGCTGACATACTGCTGAGGATGAAGTTGATGACCAAGCCTGGTGATGAGACATGTGTAGTTAAAAATACCCAGGCTGGAGAACAATCCAACCCAAAGTACACGCATTCTCAATAAAGATCCCATAGATTAAGTTGCCATCAATGGATCACCAGAGCAAGTACAGAAAATATTTGCGTTTCGTATTAAAGAGGGTGTGTGTGGGAACATCAAGTTCGTGACAGAAACGCTAAAAATTGCTATCGTGAATGATCCGAAGCAAAGTTTGCGCCAGACAACAGCATTAGATGTTTACGATACAAATGGTCGAACGGCACGGCACTTGTCCAAACGCGTGAAGGAGCACTGCCCGCGCTGGTTGCGTCAAGGAGGAACTGGGGCCATTAGCAGCGCCGTTTTGGTCCATATTGTCGACACGGGGCACCAAGTCGATCTAAAGCGTGCCTTCAGGATAATTTACAGGGTCCCCCATCATCAATCAAGAGGTTTGCGCCTCCGTGCGCTCGCGACAGCTGAATAGATTTGCATTCGGTTGTTGCAACCTTCATTATGCTCGCAAAAGAAGTTGCTCCATGCCTTACAGCTTCCCTGGCCAACTAGAACGAGCGATACTGAGGTCGAGTGCCACAGAACAAGCTCGATAACATGCAATCGACCTGTCAGATCAATGGTCAACTTTTAGCCTCCCTCACTGATCCGTTAATTAGCTACGTAACTTGACCCAATGAGTCGATTTCAGTTCATTATTTTACCCTTAAATATGATTGTACTGGTCTGAAGAGAATCATCGAAAACAATTGTTCACCTGTGGTCTCGTGTTCTTTTGACAAATGAATCGGTTTGTGTAACTGGAACGGCCTATGCTTTTCAGTTTCGTCAGAACGCATAAAAGTGCTTCGTTTGTTAACTAAGGATGGTTTCCGAGTCCTATGGGGGAACTAAATAACTCCCCCGAGTAAGTTCAGCAGGGGTATGTGCGTTAGGATGCAAAACAGACTTTATGGTGTGAGATAGATGACAAAAAAATATGTCAACGTTTCTAACATCGGGCGCGTGTCTGGGGCCTACTGACACAAATCCGGCTGCAGTAAGAGCCTGGAGACCAAGAAGTGCACATTAGATCTATAGAATCAAATCAAGCTTTCAAAATCTAGTTACACTCTGGAGACAAGTGAACACTAGTAAGAACTTACCAGCAGTATCCCAGATCTGTACCTTGATTATCGTATCACCGACAGAAACTATTTTACTTCCAAATTCTGCACCAATGGTGTGCGGCATATTAGGAACGAACTTTCTTTCAGTGTAGCGCCGCAGTAAGCATGTTTTACCGACGCTGGCGCTTCCGATAATAATGAACTTGAACAAATAGCTGAATTGATCCGCAGGATCCATGGGAATCGCTGTGTAGTATGTGTTCAGGCAAGGATTCCGAAGGCCTCCGTGTGCGGTGGTTAGGTGGGTCGTAATAGATCTGGGGGCTGCAATACAAAGCAAATAACTCAAGGCAGGACAGGATCCAGAGATGAGATAAGCTATCGCTTAACCAGCGTCTCGTTTCGTGTGCCAGTAAGCGAAAAGAGCTCCCAGCGCTTCGACGAGATAGGAGATTCTTGCGATTAAACTAACAAAAGAAAGAAGTGGGAGCAAAAAAGCCACAAAATTTTCACGAATTTACATATACTATTTGCATGTGGTTGAAGGCTGCTATGATTTCTCGCAGGGATTTAGGGGGCAGTGCCAACCGAATTTCGTCCAGGTATCGTTTAGTCCTCTACCATCTGACACTCCAACAATGAAGAGGGAAGATTATTCCAACTAGGCACTACTCGATTTGAAGAGAACATAGCTACTATATCGACCCTAGATCTTCGCTGCCTCAACTTTAGACAGCCCCACAAGTAGTCCAACCTAGCTGGTTCACATAGATCGGTGGACCTAAGACTAATGAGAACCTTCATGATTTTGAATGTCACTATTTATTCCCGTCAATCTGCATCTTCGCATTGAGGACAATCCTAAGTTAGCTAACAGATTTTCATATGGTAACACTCGCTGGCCTTCTACCATTCAAGTGGCCAGTTTCTGTACATTTGCAATACAATTTAAATCCTTTGGCAGAAAGGGCACCCAGTCCTGAACACAGTATCCCAAATGTGGTCTAACCACTGTTTTAAACAAAGGGAGAAAAACTTCTGCTTGGGACAACCCAGAAGTCTTCTGAGTCGAAATAATTCCTGTTGTGCTTTGTTAGCATCATGTTTACACTGCGCCGAGGACTCGAGGTTATTCGTCATGATAATGCTAAGATCGCGGGCTTCGGTAGCACGTCGCAGTGTCAGGGACTTAACGGGTGACGCAATACTACATTTTCACAACGCAGAGTCAAGAGTTAGCATTTGCGGTAAAAGAACACAATAACAGAAGCGTGAAGGAAAAAGGGAGAAACATTAGTGTGAGTTTAACCGAACAACAACGATCTCCATACCTTAGGTATCAATACAAGAACACCCTCGGACCTACTACAGCTGCACCAAAAAAGCAGCAAAAATGAGACCGACCGTCGCACGATACGTAAGATTCAGATTCAGATGCAACAGGAAGGCTGGGAAATACTCGGAATGTTCCTTCTTGAGCGGATCATTGAGTCAGGAAATGATAAGGTACTATGAGATCTTGATGGATCTGAAACGAAACACCCGAACCACACTCTGGTCGACTAGTCACTACCCACGTTTCTTGCACTAGCAGTCCCCGTTGTGCCGGTCATGTAAAAAAGATGTAGGAAGATAATGAAAGAGAAAGAAGGAAAGTCATTTAAACGAAGGATAATAGTAGTGAGAAAAAGCGCAAAATATGAAGTCAAAGTTGGAAGATGGCTATTATCAGGAGAAGGGAAAGGTTTCGTGTTGCCAACCAACAGCGTCTAACTGCCGCTCAAAATCCTTAACCGTATGTTCACTGACTACACTTTCTGGAAGCGAGTTCCGGCACTCGATGAGTTTACGCGATAACCGAGTTTCCGCCCTGAGCCGGTCGGAACGCGGCTTGTGTAGCTTCAAGGGATGACCGTGAAGACAAGGCAACCTAGCCGGGCTAAACACCCCGTGCAAGTCCGGTCCAAGCTTCGCAGTTAAAATGTCGTAAGTGAGGATCAGGTCTCCTCGAAGCCGGCGGTAGTGCATTGAATACATACCAAAGCTAAGTAGACGCTCTGGGTTTGTTTTCCCCCATAATCCCTCGACCAACCTGATACCTACTCGCAAAACCTTCTCAAGCTTCATTTTGTCCTGAACAAGGCAGGGACGCAAATATTCCAGATGGGACCGAACGAAAGCTGACAACAGCTTCACTAAGATGTCGGTAGTAGACTCCGGAAGTACGGCGTATTAACCATAACATTCAGAAGCCCCTAATTGCGGCTTTTATCCAGTTGTCACCTGAATGCAAAGTCCAGGAATGGACGCCTAGGTATACTTGGTTGGAGACAGGGAGGAGTTCGACCCCACTGAGCACGTACCCCAAAGGTGGGAAAGTTGCTCCTATACTAATGACGGAACATTTAGCCTGAATAATGGGCAGTAGCCACAAAGTAGACCAGTTCTAGAGTCTGTCCAGGACATGTTGAATGGCCTCAGAATCCCCAGGGACATTTACAACATAGCAATAGGTCATCAGCAAATAATAGCGATGATACCCTAAGCTCCCCAGGGAGAGCGTTTACATAGACTGAAAACAGCATCGGTCTAAAGACCGAGCCGGGTGGGACACCGCTAAGGACCGTTTGCCTATAGGATAAGTTTCGAGCAAGTAAGTGCGAGTAATGCAAGTGCAAGTAACGCACTTACTGAAGGGCTTCAAGGCAGGTCATTCTCATCTGCACACGCCAAGATAAAACGGTGCCATTGGCTTACTCGCATTATGAAAAAAAATGAAATGTGTCAGCTTATACGCCGTAACGGCGCTTCGCTGCCGCGCGACTACCACCAGTCGCGCGCGGGCTGAGTATACCGCGAGGACGCCCACCCCTACGCGGATTCGAACCGGTGACCTTATGGTTGGAAAGCAAACGTGCCGACCACTCGGCCACCGGCCGGCTAATCAGCTACACGCAGCGTACGACCAATCTCCTCCGGGCTGCTATAGAAAGAGCTGGCTTCGAGGGCTGCTACGGACTGGCTTCCGTAACACTACCTCGCGAAAAGTGACGTACAACTTCTTCCTGGGATCTAGCTGCTTTCTGACCACGGACCTCGGTATCCGATCACTCCATCATCATGGTTGCAAGCTCATTCCTTCTGTGATCACCCGGCAAGGCTCATTAGGCCGTTCCAGAGCTCCAGGGTGTCGAAATTGTCCGGCAGAAGATTCAGTAACAGCGATTGCGAAAGTAGGATCGTAATGCGTCAGCAGATGGTCGGAATATTGTAGACTTTTTACCTCGTTAAATGAGTTCTGGCATTCTTTGGACCAGTTCCAGCGTTTATCCTTGGTTAGAAGGTCACTGAGTGGACCATGCAAGCAATGTATATGCGGTATGAAAAGGGCGGTAATGACTTATGAGCCTTAGGGCGTCGCAACGAGACTGGACCTTAACGTGGTGCGACGGTTTGCGTACCTCTTTGACTTATTGTGCTATACCGAGTGATGCCCCGGACCCCTTGAGAGCTACTCCTACCAGATGCGTCAATGATTAGAAGTCATCCAGCTTGGGGGTTTGAAATGGGATGGCGTCCATTCCTGTAAAACTAAATCACTGCCATCTCCCCGCTGCCTTGCGGACAGGCTTTTCAGTCAAAAGCTTTGGTTTAGGACCCTACTCGTCCACCTGTCTAGGTCTGGGCGCCATGGCAGTATCTCAACCCACATACAACCATGACATTTTCTTCAAACATAAATTGCATCCTGCATCGGCCGTCGTGCACCTCATCAAGGGTCGCCTTACCCGCTACCTACAGTAGTGCGGATAAGCGAAAACATGCTACTACTGGCGCCTCCCTTCTTTCTCTCCCGCCTGTTTCTTACTCCCATCCAGAGCCCCATTAATAACTATTCTATAGTTCTTAACTTAATTGAACAACCGAAGTGCCACTGGAGTAGAACCATCTGCAGCCACGTTCCCACAACACCCATTGGACGCCTATCGGCAACAGTCTCTTATAAAGCCAGGTTGTCCTGCTTCCCTGGCGGCACACAACGTTCGCACTTTAAGACAAATAGGTCAACAGGCGGCAATCGCATGCACCGTGGACACACTAGGTATTGATGTGTGTTATGGGTCCGAAACTGGGAACAATGACCCTAATGGGGTTGGTGAATTAATTGCGCCCGGACTGTACTCCCGCGATAGGTTGCACGCATCCGGAACCGCCAATGCAGCAATCACGGGTCAAGCAGGTGTAGGTATAATTCTAAGCTCCAAGGCTGTGCCATCGTTGGTTCATTAGATTCCGGTGAACAGCCGTTTGTGTGCAGCCCGTTTGATGACATCAGCTAAGGTTGCTTCACGAAGTAGTACAAGACGCTGTTTTGTTTCTGATTTCCGCTTATGCTCCCACCGACTGCAGTTCTAATGCTGTCAAGAACACATTCTATCACGAACTGAACACGCTGCTACGCAGTGCTACTAGTTCAGATATTATAGTACTTGCAGGGGATATGAACGCACAAGTAGGGCGTCTGAGCTCTTCAGAAGCTCAGCTAGGTGGTAATTGTGGGCTTAACTCCGAACGGACTGACAACGGCGAGCGTCTGCTGCAACTGTGTGCGGAGCACCAGTTGTTTCTTAGTAGCACTGCTTCTAGACACGGTGGGCGCCAAAGTGCCACTTGGCGTCCACCTGTAGCTGGCTAGCGATGGACCTAAATTGACCACATGGCCATAAGTTACAGATGGCGTGGTTCCATTCTGGATTGCCGCTCGTACTGGAGTACCTGTGTCGACTCTGATCATGCCTTGATACGCTGTCGTTTATCCATGAACTTTAACGGAAGGCGCACAAAGCGTCTCCCCCGATTGGCAACGGAGTAATTGTCTCAGTCATCGGTCAGGCAAGCCTATCAAGAAGCACTGCATACAGAACTACTGCTGTCTTGTCCTAATGACACTGAGCTTCAGTGGAATAGGATCTTGGCCGCCATGCACGACGCAGGAGCATCTGCTTGTGGCATCACCAATGGTCACCGCACTAGTCACTGGATGTCCGATAGGTTGGTGAACATTCGGAACCAAGAAGGAATCTCTCAGCTGGCTTTGAGCACAATGTGACCAGATGGACAATTAGGCGTGAACTAAAGCGGAGCCTACGTGCTGACAAGGAAGGCTGGTGAACCAGTAGGGCTCAAGAAATGGAGGAGGCAGGAGCAGTAGGCAATTACCGCACGCCTTTCCAACTGATCCGCACCACTTGTCGCAGTGTAGGATTAGTAAATATTAGTCGGAGACGGTGCGCGAAAGTAAGCGCGGATATCAGGAGGCAACTGGGGT